TCTGGGAAATGGCCCACCAGCTTTGTTTGGGCACCGGGCAAGTCGACAGACGCTCTAAGGGCAGGATTATGGAGCACTTGAGCAAACTCCACCTCCTGTGGAAAGGCAGCTTGCCTTTGCTAACGAGAAACCATGCCTTCCTAATCTACTAGAGCTCTTTGAAGGGTCAAATAAGTGTACGGATAAGGAGGGCAAACAGTAGACACAATCCATTTACACTTTCAAGAATCCCTGGAAAGCGCCCCACCAAAGCCTGTTGAAGCAGTCGAGTCACCACGGGAATGGGGAGAGTGGTGACACGTGGGGAACTGGCTCAGATAAGAAATACAAAGCAAGGATACGTAAGTCTTTCTGTGGATGGCAAGATGCTGGCAGCGGGCTTCTGCTGGGGAACTGATGCGCCTGGGGACCAGGCTAAGCGGCCCTCAGCAGTATGGGATGTGACCATCAAGCCCTTTTGCGTGCACAGTCCCAGGTGGAAATCGGCCTCATGGCTCTACAGTCACATCTCACAGATTGTCTTGTCCAATGCGTGTATCTTTGTGACATCTCCAGTGACACTGTGAGCTCCTGAAAGGCAGGGAGCATGTCCAGTATTTCAGAATGTATTATAGTGGCTAGCATGGAGAAATATTTCATGGCTGGATCAGCCAGAAGAGAGAGTGTGCTGAACTCTTTTATTTTGCTAATGACTCTGAGCTTTTCCACCTAGGGAAATTCCTACAAAGGCTGCAGAAGGTGCAGGAGGCTCGTAAGTGGCCAAAGATGTACAACAGGATCAAGGCAGGTCAAGTAAAGCATTAAGTGAGAGAAGGACTTCAGTGGTACCTTGTTCCTATCATGAACTATGTAAAGAGTGAATAAATCAGTTCAGAGAACAATGGTAAAACTTCACTCTTGCGGGTGACAGATTCAAAGCTCTCAGAGTCAACCCAAGAAAGGGTTATGAGTTGCTATAACATGGTGTTTTACAAGCTACTTTTCATTATTACCCCCCCAAGAACATTATATTTTCCTTAATTGCTGCCACCTCCTGTGGACTTTGAGTAGCATAGATATGCCATGTATGTGTTTATGCCCTGGGGTGCTTTGGAGGGCCAAAACCGATTGTAAAATCTAGTATTTTTCACCATGCAAGGGCCAAGTTTTTCCCCTTTGGAGCTAATGGTGGCCGTTGAGAGTTCATGCTGCAGGGGACTCCCCTGAAGGTTTGGGCCCAAGGTGTTACTTTAAACAGAACAGCAGAAAGCCGAACATCTAAGAATGGAACCAGGGACAAAAAACGAAGTCTCCGCTTGCCCTCCCCAGAAGACAAACTGAGACTCAGACAAACCAAGGTGTGCTCCTGTCCTCTCTCCTCCGCTCTGCTCTTCCCTGCCTTCAGGGCTGGTGGTGGTGGAACTCACAGCAAGTTCCTTGGCCCTCAGCCTGCAAGTTGGATTTGAGCAGGACAGGAGACTGGGAGGACAGGGGAAGGAGAATACAATCAGGGTATATGTTTCTCTCTGTGAAGTCACATTATCTGTGTGCCTTGGCCATTTCTCTTCTCTAGCGGCCTCTCTGTTAGACTCTGTGCTCTCCTCCCAGGTGCTGCTAACAGCTTCCACTCCCCTGCTCCGGGGAGAGATGGCAAGAACTCGGTCTCGAAGGTCTCCAGCTAGCAGTGGTATTCATGGTCATCCCCCGTGACCACACCTTTGCCAATGTATCTTATATTCATTACGCTGTTTCCTGTTGGGACTTGGATGACAAAAGAGAGAGGCCTTGTCACTACACCTCAAGAGAGACATTCTGGGGCTGGCATGCAGCCAGAGGAGGGTAGGTGAGCAGATGTCAGATGCTGGGTTGGGTGAGGCAGGAGGCAAGGAAGGGGCCACAATCCAGAAGACAGGAGGCTAGAAGATCCTTGCTTGTAATAGGGTAGGATCATGAACTTTCCCAATCAGTGGCCAGGGAGCCTCTAGCGCTTCTGAGGTAACATTAAGGTGGCCCTTGGTCCACCTCTTTACATAGTTGGACTGACAGCACTGTCTCCCCTAGGAGTAGCAACAGCTGGCCTTGAACTTGTGATCCTTCTACTGAGATTACAAGCATGTGTCAGTGTGCCTAGCTCACTCTTAGGGGATGACACCAGTGAGGCGGACCTGGTGTCCTTCAATTGTCTATGGGGCATCCCGTCAAAGGCTGTCAGTTCTTCGCAGAAGCGGCGGCGGGCATGAGTCGGTAACTGCGGTGATGCTGATCTTCAGGGGGATGCTGTAAGGGCTGTCGGAGAGGGAACGCAGGCTTCTGGACGTAGTCTCGGGTTAGAGCCTGGCTCTTTGCCTTTCTGAGCCACCACCCACCTCCCAGTTGCCATCAGAATCAAATGAGAAAGTCGCATAAAGGCAGCCAGGCCTGGCCGGCAGCCCACTGCAACCCAGCCCCTTATCCTACCAAATCAAGCCCAACAAGCCTGCTCTCCTGGCTCTGCTTGGAAGCTGGGGGTGGGGGCAACCAATCTTGTGTACTCGGCTCCAGAAGCTGCTGTCATAGATGAGGGCCGGATGGGCACTTTATCCTGAGGCCTCCTAATCCCATTTTCTGCTTTCATGTTAATCCTCTTCCTTCTCTGTCTGCCATACACTCTGCTCCCAGGGCACGGACCCGGACATCCAGGCCCACCTCGCCTGCTCAAGGGCAGTGCTTCCCATCGGGGCTGCTGGAGAGGAGGGGAGCGTGTGGCTGTGCCCTGGTCCTCCTCAGCAGATCGAGTTGTTTGTTCTTCCAGCCAGGGCCCGGATGAACACTGCTCCAGTGCTCAGCTCACCAGACACAACACAATGACGGTGTCAGCAAGTATCTCCCAAGCGCTTACTCTTTGCTGATCCTGAGAAGCCACTTGGGTACATAACCTCACTCAATTCCCGTAGCCTTCCTGGGACGCAGATATTATCAATCCGAAATCTGCACATGAGGATACCGAGGCTCGGGGGAGTGTTTGCAGCCGGATAACACAGTGAGCAGAAAGCAGAGGTGTCCAGTATTCTCACCCAGCTCAGCCTGGCTCCAGAGCCTCATACCGAAGCTGCAGGCAACACTGCCCTCCATCTTACACCCAGAAATGGGAAGTCCTCTCGGGAGACAGTGGCTCCCTGTCAATGCCCTTCCCAGGGGAGGAATGGTTTTGTTTTAGGCCTCTCCACTCACTGTCCCTTTAGTTCTAGACACTCCACTGCCTCTCCACCCTCAGCTGCAAATGCCCTTTCTGCTGCCAGGAAGAGGTCCTGAGGCAAGGCGCACACTCTGAGGGAGAAGCCGTCTACCGTCACTTCGGCCACTGGTGAGCAAGTCTAAGGAGACTATGGCTTATGGACCTCCGCCTTGGTTTGTCACACACTTAAGAGTTAGGCAGCCCTCTCTAACTTAGATTCCTCTGGCTGTGATTTCACCCCTTGGGAGGTAGCACTGAACAGCGTAGGCTAGGATTTAGGGCCGGGTGCAAATGCCCCGTAGATTGCTCTGAAGCTGGGATGGGGCTGTTGTTTTCAGATAAAACTCGAATAACTGTACCTCCCTGCAGCCAGAGCTGGGCCCTCTGCAGACATCATTTCCCTGTCTCTCCCGCTCCACTTTGCCCCCCAGCCTGTCCTCTGGAAACCTCTCACAGCCTGGAAGTTAGTCTGGACTCATCTTCAGCCTTCTCTCCCTGCCTGGCTCCCGGGGCCTCTCTGTGGAGTGTAACTGGGTCTTTGTCTCTCTCTGGACTGAGACCCCACCGATTTTCTTGCCTCAGGCTCTCATCAATTCTGGCACCTCCGTAAGTGCAGCTTGATGACACGGCTTCTTCTGTCCTCAGAGCCCCTCAGGCGCGATGACAGTTGGAGAATAACAAGGGAGGAGCACAGTCTAACTCTCAGTAGCGTGGAGTGGACTCTGCGTTGCGGCAGTGAATTCAGCTGGGGCCAAAGGCTTGCAGGCCCTGTAAGCTGAGGTCCCTCTCAGAGGGTTGAGGACCGAGGGTGGTGAACGTGGGCAGGCTTTCTGGTTGAGTCACAGAGTGAGACTCCACGGAGGCTTCAACTCTGTCCTCTGCCCAGTTACAGAAACAAGATGTAGGGTGTGACCTGGGATAGCAGTGGTGAGCTGCAACCTGCAGGGTCATAGCACTGTGAGTGGTAAGGACTCCAGAGCCAACACCAGCTCACTCAGAGCCGAAGGAACATCTCAGCCGCATCTGAGAAACAGCACCAACCCTATCTGCTCAGGAGGAAATGGGTTCTGAGACACAGCTTGGTTATTCCTTCTAAACCCTCCAAGGTTTGTGCCCTCTGAGGACATTCTAGAAGTCAAGCGCTGAACAGGAGAGAGTATGAGGGATTTTAAGTAAGATCTGCATTCACTGGTGGGTCTTTCTCTAGCCTTAGTGTCCTCTTGAACTGTTTTTTGGCTTTGGGCGGCCATATGCTCCTAGCACTTCCTTACTGAAACCCAGGAAGCTGGGCTGGTCTTCTCATAGTTGCTCTTTCTCGCCACTCTCCATGTATTTCTCAGTTAGAGAAAGGCTCATGAGCTTGTGGAGGGCATTTGATGGCCAGCGCAGTGCAGAGGCAAAGGTGACCTGCTCGAGGCTGCTTGGGTGTTGCCGGTGTCTCTGACCTGAGCGATTTCCCCAGTTATTGGAGGTGGCTCACAGCCTACCAAGAGATCATTCCTTTGGCTCAGGCCTTTGCACAAGAGAAGGTGGGATGTGTTAAAATGGGAACCTTCATGGGGAAAAGGGAATCTGTATGCCTTTTGTTGGGTCTTGATGTAGCGGGCCAAGATGGCAAACAGACGCCATGCAAGTACGACCAGGAGACACGTTTTGGCGTCTTCAGTATTAGCCACTAGAATTTCACCCCCAAGGGTCATCATCCCCCGGACACATGTGTGGGTGTGCACACATGCATGTACATACACACAAAGGCGTAATTTAGGACCGGTACGTTGCAGCCCAAGAAACTGGCTTGAGAAGAATCTTTGCCTTGAAAAGTCATTTTATTAAGTGATTGATTTTTTTTTTTTTTTACAAAAATAAACAATTTAATGAACAAGAAGTATAAAAACTTCTGGATATGCAAACTCCAGGAGAGGGGGAAAGCCTGGTTTGGGCTGCTCTGCGGCTTTCACTGAAAGCAAATGAGGCAGAAAGGCCCCGGCCCTACCCCCACCCCAGGTCCTGGCTCAAACCGCAACCTGCTCCTCCTCCACCCCAGTCTTGGCTCATTTGGACGTGTGTGCCCTGGCTCCTGACCCCCAGCATGGCCTGGGAGCATCCTCTGTCAGGGGGCCAGAGCCAGCCTCTCCAGGAACGGGCTCACCCACAACCTGGAGCACCCCCCACGCCATGTCTCCCGAATGGAGCTAAGCTGAGAGGACATCCTGTGACCGATTGTCCTCACGCGGCCCCTGCGTGCCGCGCCACGTGCAACAGCGGTGGCAGGGGTTTGGCTACATTCTCCCACGATGAACACAGTGATGGGGCTGCCCGTGGAACCGTCCCAGTTCAGACCAGCCTGAGCCTGGCTTGCACGCCAGAGCCCTGGAGAGGCCATCCGCCCCTCCCTTGACCACTGATTCCTGGCCTGGGAGCCAGCAGTCTCAGACCTAGGCTGGTAAACTCACATTTTAACATTTTGCATTATTGCACGTTTGTCCTGGTCGCGTCAGTCTGTCTGGGATGTCAGCACTGTCTGCAGCGCTTCCCAGGTGGCATGCAGTGCCGCTGGTGCAAATCGCTCCCGCCGCGGGCAAGCCCAGCTGGTTGGCTGAGCCCTCGGACAGGTCAGCCGGGGGCTCTCACGTAGGTGGTCTTGTTGGGATCAGGGATCACATGGCTCCATCCAGTCTTGAAAAAGACCAGCTTCCGACCTGGAGCAGAGGGGAGAGATAACAGGTCTGGAGGCTTTTGTCCCTGGAGGTAGGGCCACTCTCCTAAAGCTAGTCGTTACCTGCCCACCTCTAGGGAAGTCCAGCTGCCTCTATCAGGATGCCCTCTGCCTTTGGCTCACCTGTCCAGGTGGTCTGGTTGGTGACCACAAAGGCACTGCACTGGGCATGGCTTTCACACACGTCCACAGCCTCCGCCAGATTGAACACGGACAGGAGGCAGCTACCATGGTGGTAGGATGGCCAGCACCGGTAGTCCTCCTGCGGGATGGCGCTGTCTGGGATGCGCTGGTACTCTACTGGTGGGAATGAGCCAAGGTGAGAACTGCATGCCCAGCATGAGCACTGAGGCCACAGGACCCATTTCCTCGGTGAAGGCTGACGCCCAACGCCCCTCGCAGGAGATGCAGGCAGCCACCACTGTTCAAACTGGGTCACTCACTCACTCAAGACCAAGCACAGACTTAGTTCTGGGGAGAAGTGGGCACGGACATGGGACCGACACATGCGTGGAGCCACCAGCTGTCCAGGGTAGCTGCTGAAGTCAGGGCATTTTAGACACGTGTAACTGGGCTTCTCAGACATACGTGTCAGAATCCCTAGGGATTCTCGTTGAAAGGCAGATTCTGATTTAGAAGTCTGGGTAGGCCCCGAGAACCTGCATTTCTAACCCGCTTCTGACCCCGTGAGTGTACAGATCACACTTGGAGTTGCACAGTTCTGAGTGCCCTCAGCCAAACTTTCTCCTGGCCTTGTGGAGAGAGGTTAGACAAGCTGCTCAGATAGGCCTGGGGGCAGGCAGGGAGTTCTGGGGTTAAGAGGCCCGCAAGTGAAGGAGAAATGCAAAACATCCATGGCTAGATTGTTTCGGGAGGGGCCTGAGCTCTGCCCATGATTTAGAGAGAGTTACAGAGGCTCCGGCAGTCGGGAAGCAGCTCCTTGGAAGGCCTCTCGTTCACCCTGTCTTTCCCATTGCTTGGGGAGCCCCACTTTTGGGCTGATAATGCAGCAGCCCTGGGCCTCTGGCCACCCCGCCCTCCAGCCTCCTTCTCCCGCCAGGGGCTAGACCAAAGTCCAGGGCTGGCTGTGATTTATGGCCCCATAAACTGCGTCCTCAGGGACAGAGCCAGCCATTGTTCACCTCGTTAAACTTTATTTACAGGGCTAACGAGGGCTCCCCCACCCCTAAGACTGGCCAGGGCTCCCTGAAAACAGGGGCTGCCCACCCCTTGTCCCCTGCCAACCACAGCTAAACCCGAGGGCTTCTGCAGAGGGACTACAGCCTGTAGCCAGTGGCTGAAATTCGCCGCCGCCTGGGAAGAGCCTGCTTTGGGGCTGCTTTTGGTGCGAGGCCCCCTGCACCTCCAGCTGTCCTCCCAGCCCCAGGAGTGCAGAGGAAGGAAAGAGAAGCAAACATACATTGTGTTCCAGCTGTGTAGTAGGAAGTGTGCTAATTGCTTTTACACACCTCACCTGCTACTTAATCCCCGAAAGAGCTTTGTGAGGTAATACTGAACCCAATCCATAGATGAGAAAAGTGAGGCTCTAGGAGTACACCACACAGCCACAGAGGTGTTGGAAGCCATCTAGAGGATGGTCAGTGCCCACCCCACTTTAAGATAAAATGATAGTAGCTCTAGCTGGGCCAGAGATGGGACCTCAAAACGAAGGCTCAACAGTCTTTATATCACTCCAAGTAAGCCCTTAGGGTACCACTGGACAGACGGATCCCCGAAGAGAAGCGGAGACACGCAGCCCAATTGGAGAGCTGCCTCCCACGGGCCCCCACCTCCTGGTTCCCTGCTGGAGCCACTCACCAGCGCTGCTGCTTGCCGTGGAGTTCTGCAGATACTGCCCGCTCCGGTACAAGTATAGCACTGTCTCCAGCTGGGCCAGGGTCTCGTCCACCCCCCAGGTGAGCTCTCCTGCAGAGTGTGACAGTGCTGATAGGGTGCCTGGGCCGTTCCCCCCTGCGGTAGGTATCAGCGGCCTCCCCGCCTTCCCTCCAGGGCCTGGGCCCAGACGCCTGGTAGCCTGGTAGGGACTTTGCTACTGAATGCTGGTCTGGGAAATCATGATTTCTGAGTCGTCTGCTGCCCTGGGTCACTCCTGATCTCACTCCTGCTGGGGGATGGCGAGGCAGTGGGAAGCAGAGGGCCAGAGGCTCACCGGAGGCATTGACGATACTGTCCAGGAGAGGTCGGAGGGCAGGCGGGGCACTGTGGGGCAGGAGGTATGTGAAGAAAAACCTGCGGCAGAGAGGAACCGGGGGCTCAGGGACACAGCCTCTAGGGACACAGCCTTCTCTGACCCCAACCTGGCTAGCGGGCCTGATCCCTCAGTCCCAGTGACCGGGGCATACCCCAGGGCACACCCCAGGGTATACCAGACTGAGGGAACGAGTCGACCCAGCTATGATCACATTTAATTTTAGACCAAACTGAGACCTGAGGCCTGTTTCTCCCGTCTTCCTTCACGTCCAGCCCATGCTGTCCCCAGGCTGACCCCCAGCCTCACAGCAGTCCCGGAGTTGGGGCTTCTCAGCCACGAGGAGCTTCAAAGAGGTCAAGGGCCAGGTGGAAAGGGGAAGAGCTGGTTCCACCAGCCTGAGGCCCCGAGTCCCGCACTATTTTAAGACGCCTCCAGCTGCCACCCTCCAGCCCAGATTCTCCTTGGAGCTGTCTATTTTTAGCTTCGTCCTCAGGAGCCTGAACATTCCCTCTTAACTGACTGGGCAGGAGACTTTCCCTGCCCCGGGGGCACCGCGGCTGAGGTTGAGTCTGTTCCCTCACTGAGCCCTGACTGGCTCTCCCTGAGCTGTGCCCTCCTGGGCCCACCCACCCTCGCCCGAGCTCCTGAGTGGGTAGTGGAGGTCACCTGTAGGCATTGTAGAGGTTCCGCTTCTCGTTCATGCCCTCACACCAGCCCTGGGCGGAACAGGGCAGGGTGAAGTTCCTTGCTGGAAATTCAAGTACGCAGTCGGCGTTGTTTGTACACGGTGTCTCCTCCACGCGTGCATCATCCAGGTCCGTCACCTTGAGCTCCCCATCCACGAGGACAAACTGTCGCGGGCGGAAGTCCAGCAGAGTGACCGAGCCCAGCGGGGAGTGGGCCAGGTGGTGGAGGAGGCGGCCCAGGCTGAGGCAGATCTGAAGGCAGACACAGGGCTGGGTGGGGCCCACTGGAACTCTCCCCTTTGGGGCTGTGGACTTAGCTCAGGGGTTAGCCTTCCTGTTCTCTAAGCCTCAGCGCTCAATGAAGGTGAGCCCAGCAGCCTTCAAGAGGACACCAATGACTCGAATCCATTAACCCACAGGCTGGCCTGACCCTGCAAATAATGTGGGAAACAGCGGCGGGGGGTCTGGAGATAATGAATCTCTTCCCTGAGCTGCATCTGGAGTGTGGTTTCAGTTCAGTGGCTGGGCACAGGAAGGGCTGAGCTGACCTTCAGGTGACTCGAGGTCCCAAGACACGGGCCCTCCTGCAGTGGCTGTGTGCATGCGTGGGGTGTGGTGAGCACAGCAGGGCACCAAATGCCAAGCTCCTCTCGTCTTGCTTCCTTTTTTAACCCTTTGGCCAAGGGCCGAGGCAGCCTGTGCCCTGCCTCCCTCCCGCCTCCTCTGCTGAGGAGGAGTCCAAGCTGCTCTGGAAGGCTGGCCTTCTAAGGAGAACCATCCCGTTCAGGAGCCCTCCTGCCTGCTCACTCGGAATCGATCCTCCCAGGAAGTCTGCAGCAGCTGGATCATTTCCACAGGGGCACCCAGCTCCGTGATGGTGGTCAGCGTGTCCGGGATGTCCTCGCTGTCCTGGTAGCAGTAGCCATAGAGCTGGGGGAATCCCAGGGCAGGTCATTAGGTCACAGGGTGGGGGCGGGGACGGAGAAGGGCTCTGCCCCCAAGGCCATCCCCCAGGCCTTTGCTTCAGCTGTGGCCAAGGGGAGAAAGAGCCAGTGGTGCCTGGGAAGTCTGCCCTCTCCCCCACAGCAGAGTTCCCACTGAGTCCATCAGCCCCTCACCGCTGGCCTCTCGGAGATGGGCAGGTATGGCCACCGTGTGTTAGGCAGGTGGCGGGCACTGTGCTGAGCATACTACACGCAGGATTCACTTCTTACATCACTCTAGTGTGCACAGTGGGTACCACCATTACCTCCACTTTCAGGTGGGGAAAGTGATCTGGAGAGGTTAAGTGGCTTGTACAGGTCCACCCCACTAAAAAGTACAGGAGCTAGGACCCAAAGGGATGCCGCTCACACTCCACAGCCCGGTTCTTGCCGAGAGTACTGCGGGCCCGTGCGAAGCCAGCGAGTACCGTAACTCCTCCTGCTTTCAATCCCATCCTATTCCTCATCATTCCCACCTTCTGATAGCTTTTTTTCTTTTTTTTTGGTCTTTTTGAGACAAGGTCTCGCTATGTAGTTCAGGCTGGCCTTGAGCTCACTTTGTAGCTCAGGCTGGCCTCAAACTCACAATGATCCTCCTGCTTCAGCTTCCTGAATGCTGGGATTACAGGTGTGCGCCACCACGCCTGGCTTTGTAGCTCCATTTTTGTTCTGTTTGGGTCTTGCAGGAGGAAAAGCCAAGAGGGACAACCCTGGGTGTTCCTCGCGTATGTGGGTGGATGATAGGGCAGGGGGCACTGGTAGGAGGGACAGTTCTCAGGGAAGATTAGTTTCTTGGGGGTACGGTCATGAGGAGCTGCCTACCCAGTGTCACCCAGGGGCGGGGCCTGGTGCCACCCAGCTGGTGAGGGAAGAACAGCTTGATGTTGTCACTCACGCCTACACCAGCCGCCACAGGGAACCCTGCCTCTCCCAGCACTCCACAGCGGCTCAAGCCTCGGCAGGGGCTGCGAACAACCAGCGCCCTGTGGGGCAGGAGCACAAAGGCCGAGTTGTCCAGTCCTGCCCAGCGAGAGCCGAGAGCTGTGCGGTGCAGGGGTCGCAGTGGGGGTGCTGAGCCTGCAGGCTAGATGTCCCCGCACAGTCACCCCTCCTGCCAACAACCGCGTGCTCCCAGCCCCACTGCAGGCCTCAGATGCCCCTCTCCTCCTCCCGAGTGCCTCTTCAGGGCCCTCTCCCCGGAGCCCTGCCCCATCCCGCCCCAGGAGGGACGGCACAGCTCGGTGCTGGGCCATCAGCTCACTTGAACTGTGACTCGGGGGATCAGGGGACAGTTCTAGGCACCCTCTCGTTTCTCTTTCTCTACTCCTCACCCCCCCCATCAGCCCAAGGAGGCCCCAGACCTGGGTAGGGTGGGGGGAAGGTAAGGGGAACAGCCTGCAGCCTGGTTCTCATTTTCTTGCCCGGAGTCTGAGCCTTTGTGGGAAACTTCTGAAGGTTATTAAACACCCGGAGGTCGTTAAATGCGCTGTTAACGAGGTATTAATCAACACCCCTCAGGAAAAAATAAAAAGACACCATTAACCCCCCCAGGAAGCGTGAGGCTGAGCATTTCAGTCACATCTTTTGTGTGTCTGGGACAAGAAATATACTTTAGCATGATCAGAATCTGGGCCTAAGCAGGCCCAGGGCCCATCTGAGGCCTGAAGCCCTGAGGATGACCTGGCTAGGGCGGGGCGGGGGGGACCCTTGGGCCCTTTGACTCTGGGTTATGGCAGCATCTATCACGTGAGGGAGTGTCTGCATGCATGCATGCGCACATACACAGCCGTGCGAGGTAAGATGGAGAGGGTCACAGAAGATAGCAGGATCTCACCAGGCAGCCCCCTTGTGACCACAGCACATGGTGAGCAGTGCCCTGTAGGGCAGGGCATCAAGACAACACAATTACTAGTTCTGCACACCCATGCTGAAGCATCTGGAGGGAGACCACACCGCAGGCTTTCTTGAATGCAAGCGTAGCACAATTGAGGAAGCCAGAGGGATGGAGGCTTAGGGTGCAGGGGGTCAAGTACCCCAAAAACAGTCCCTGAGACACAACTGGGGACCCCCGCTTTTCCCCTTTCACTGGGACTCTCACTACTTTAGCAACTCGTGCGCCCTGAATAGCTAACTCCAGCCTCTGGCCCTATGAGAATACTACAGCCAACCCCAGACAGGCCCGCCTTGGTAGGGGAATAGATGAAAACTATTCCACTGTCATTCTTTTCCTGGGAAGCCTACAGCACTGGGGGCCTGGCATTACAGAGGAGGACCCTAAGGGTATGTGCTGCGGGGCTAGCTGGAGGGTTAGCAGAGAGTTTGGTGAGATCAGTGAGGCAGTTCCTGAAGACACAAGAAGGGACCTCAGAGATCAAACCTGTCCTACCAGAGGAGGTCCTGAGTCAAAGAACTAACAATGTCCTGCTAAGTCATTCAAGACTTCTCCTCCCCCTCAGAATCTGGCCGACACCCCAGGATTTCCAGAAAGTTCCCAGGAGCCCCTGGGAGGTGAGCAGAACAAGATCCTCCCAGTTAGAATGGCCACGTAACCAGCGGCTCCCTCCTTGAAGCTCAGGATACAGTGTGAGCCCTCGGCCAGACATAACCAAACACAAGGTCAGCTCTGCCCAGCCTCCTCCCCAGTGAGGGTCCAGGACCCAGTCAGTGTCTGGTCACGGAGGGGCGTCCTGGGGACCTGGGCACCTAGCAGAAGTATAAGTAACTTTCCGGCCTCTCTCTCTTATTCTGAATTGCCCACCCATCCCTCCAGTCCTAGGGACCCATCTCATTCCCGAGGAAAGGAGGGACAGCCGCCGGGGTTTCTGGTCAGTTCTCCTGGGCACAGAAAGGTGAGTGAATCTGAGAAGCCTCAGAGGTGGGAAGTGTGGACACGATTCGTTACAGATGTCGGCACACACCCTAAGTTCACCGGCCAAGAACAGTCAGGGATTCCCCTCTCTCTCTGCTCAGACATGTGCAGAGGGAACCGTTTGTCTCCTCCTAGGCAAACTCAAGGACGGAGACCAGGGCGAGAGGAAATGGGGTATAGGGCAGCAATGCTGGGATTGTGAGAGCCCAGCTTTAGGTCCTCTTGGAGGGGATAAGCTGGGGGTCTCATCTCCCTCCACCCCCAAGTACATAGGGGAGGCAGAGTCTCAGTAGGAATCTGGGCCTCTGGCCTTCTCAATTTTCCAATATGTTGGCCAAATACACTCCCACAGTGTGACATTTGCACCCTCAGGCCCTCTGTCCACTGGCCTGAGACGCTAAGGCCTCCCCTTTGCTTCAAGTGGTCCCACTCTAAGGCCTGGGGAGCCCCAGGGTGGGTGTTAGGAAAGCCTGTGTATATTCCCCTCAACTCCCTACTCCTTTACTCTTGGCTTCTGGGCGCGGTGAGTACTTTCAGGGAATGAAGCCTGCCACATGGTCCTTCCAGCTCTTCTCAACCCCAAATGGAAAATGAAAGAAGTGGGGTTCAGGTTCCACCAAGAAGGGAGCCCTATCGCTGCAGCTGGGAGCTGACTCAGGTAGGAATGTTGTACAGCGTCCTGGCTTGAGGTGTTCAGAACCCTAGCTCCAGCTGGGAGCAGAGTCTTAAATTCTAATCCGCTTCCCAAGCCCTGGAGTTTTGGATACCCGAATCCTAACCTCTGCCTTTAAGGGTGTGTGTAAGCTGAGAAACCCAGGGAGCCACTCACGCAAGAGTGAGAGGCGGATGGTGCAGTGGGAGGCGTCTTAGTTTGGGTCTGAGCCTAGCTTAACCTGGGCACGGTCACTGGCACCCCATCTCTGGGACTAAGGATTTTCTTCCAGCCCGAGGGGCGGGCCGCGGCGCTCCCAGACAGAGCCCTCTCGGAACCCCACCCTCGTACCTGCAGCACGTTGGGGTGCCGCAGCCGCTCCAGCAGCACCATCTCCTTGAGCAGCTTGTGGGCCGCCAGGCGGTAGCAGCCCCTCCGCGCTCCGAACTCGCGCACGCAGCTGCCCAGGTCGTGGCCGCCGAAGTCCACCGCCTTGAGCGCCACCGCGGCGCCGCCGGGCAGGCGCACCCGGTACACCGCCTTGGTGTAGCCCGAGCCCACGTACTGCGCGCCGGACACGTTGCGGAGCGCGGCGCAGCCCAGCCG